GAGACATTATGATGTAGAGGGGATAACGGTCGACGACTAGTCAAGGGAGCGAAGAGTCTTTTATGGCGGCGGTTGCGCGCATCATCAGTCTATCTGGGATTCATGGGGAGGCGTTTCGGGGATAATGTAGACATGACGACACTTGCAAGGGGCATGAAAAACCCTCGAAAAAATTCAAACTCTTTGGTCAAGATACACCAATGTCAGTGGGTTCCTTGAACCTCCAGTTCCAGCTCCATCAGTGAATTTTCCTGAGCTCAGATTTAATCCATGGGTAGTCCCGGATGTGGAAGGTACTGCCTTAGCTACCGGACCACCGGGGCCTCATACCTTAATGTTCAATCACAACCGCCGCCACCGGCGCCTTCCCACGTCCGCGCTCCCTTCCTTCATTGACGTACCTTCCTCATGTATCTCAAAAAGATAAATCCTCTCCTCCCTTTTGATTTTCTTGTTTGACTTTTTCTCATATGTCACAATATCATAGTTTATCATGCTATCCGTTTTTTATTTTCAGCCTGCAGCCTACCTATGCTCTTTTCTCTTGTTTTTTTTCGCGTCCCGGTAAACCCAACGATCCTTCTTACTCTCTAAGTAGGTATCAACTTCATCATCATCATGACCACCTAGTCAAACTATCCAACGCTTGCTTTCCAAATTTAGTAAACGGAGAAGAAAGAAAAGAATCTATGGTACTATCTATAATCAAACCTGCATACTTGCAAACCACGAACCCCAAAAAAGAAATGCAAATTTGGAATTACGCATCAAGAGAAGAGGGGCTCCGACTCAAGCCTCGATAACAACCTTGAGCACAAGCTTCCCCTCGTCATCAAACGTCCGACTCGCCAGCTCAAACGCCTTTGACGCGTTCTGCAACCCCTTGAACCGGTGCGTAACCATATCATCCAGAGGCGGAAGCCCGCCGTTGCCCTTGGCGCAGAGCAGACGGACGCCCGTCGGGTAGGTATTCGCGTACCGGAAGATGCCAAGGATATCAATCTCCCGCAGGTGCGCGACCGACAGCGGCAGAGTCTGCACGGGCGTGCCCATGCCGACCATGATGACTTTCCCGCCGGGCCGCGTGGCGTACAGGCTGGTGTGCATGCAGACCTCTTTGCCGGTGCACTCGAAGGTGACGTCGACGCCGTCGTCTTCGGCGTCCGAGTCGAGTTCTTCGGGCACCTTTGTGAGGGCCAGGATTTCCGCGGCGAGGGACTTGGCGCCGTCGAATTTGCTCTGGACGCTCTGGACGGAGAAGATGCTGGCGGGCGTCATGACGCCCGGGTCGGCTGGCGTGGAGGTGCCGGAGTTGGTCTTGACGACGTGGCCGTGGGTGGCGAAGCCCTTTCCGACGGCGTAGTTTACGCGGCCGGCATCGACGTCGGTGATGGTAACTTCGGAGCAGCCAGCTTGCCGCGCCATGGCGGCTGTCAGGAGTCCGACGGTTCCTGCGCCGATGACCAAGGCCGTTGAGCCGGGCTCCGGCGCGGCTCTGTTGACGGCGTGGATGGCGACAGAGAGCGGCTCGAGGAGGGCGGCCGCTTCGTAGGAGACGTGGTCGGGGATCTTGTGGCACCACGCCGCCGGATGGTTGATTCGTTCCTGGAGGGTGCCTTGGTAATGGGGCACGCTCTTGGCGCTAGACCGGAACTTCATCTTCTTGCAGAGGTTGTATCTGCCTTTACGGCAGATGGTGCACTGTCCGCAGGGGACGCCGACCTCGAGAGCGACGCGGTCACCCAGCTTGAAGCCCGTGACCTGGGGCCCGATGGAGACGACCTCTCCCGAAGATTCGTGGCCTAGAGAGAGGGGGTGACACGCGCAGAGGTCGCCATTGGCGAACTTCTTGTAGTAGCTGACATCAGACCCGCAGATACCGGTCCGCTTGATGGCAATCTGCAGCTCCCCGGCGGCCGGTTCTTCTATGCTCCTCGTCTCCTAAGGGGTACGAGTGTCGTTAGAATTAACATGTCCAAGGCGGGGCGGCTTTTGACACATTCAGGAGTAGGGATGCAACAGGATCAACGTGGGGGAACCTTCGTGTGACGAACGAACCCACATTCTCCACGTCACAATCCATGACCATGAGCCTAAGAAAGTTGAACTTACCAATCGCAAGTCTCGAGGACCATACAAGACTGACGCAGTGACCGAACAAGACTTTGACTTGTAGACGGGTAGGTGCATTGGTGCCATCTCACCCGTTGCGACTGGGGCCATGATGGAAGTTGGATGACGCCGGCGGCGTGGGGTGAAGCGTGGGATGATGGGTTAGGGTGTCAAAGGGGGCTTGGCCTAACTTCCTAATAGGGAGGGCTCGATGAGTGGGATTGGCCCAAGTGCCGGATGAGGGGTGCCGACAACACAAAATATGCTGAAAGACACGAGGGCGAGGGTCCTGGGAATGAGGGACGGGAGGGGACCGGCGCGGGGTGTCTCGAGGACTGATAGGTTCGCTTTGGTATTTGGAGTTTGGGGGTAATTGGGGGGCCACAAGAGGATAGACAGGGTTATTTCGTGGGATGAAGATGTAAGGAACCCAAGCTAATACGATTCCCGTGCGAAGATGGAGGTGAGCGAAATAGATTATCACTTGACAGAATGAAATGATAACCGGAAGAGCAGGAGACTCGAGATAAAGGGAATTATGAAGAGGCTTTGGCGCGAGGGGCCGTTGCTCCCCACCACCCCTTAAATAGGCTTGCGTGCTTGCCCGGCCCCCGGGCACTCTCAACGTCCTGATGAATGATGCTCATGGTGGTGTCAATCGGTGATAGACCAAAGTTGCAAGGGGTTATCTTGGGTGAATGGGGAGACGGATGGACAACGGGCCATGAGCATACCTATCGAGGGTGACCATGATGGGGAGAGTTGGCCAAGTTCGCCCAACCAAACATCGACCAGTTATCGGAGCCAAGCTAAGAGCTTCGTACATGTAATCTCGGGAAATCATATGCAAGAGACATCTAGCGACGGAGCCACCTCAGCGTTCGGCAGCAGCACAAACCTTGGCCGGTATCATACTGGCTTGCGAGGCGAAGAGATGAAAGGGAACAGAGTAGGGATGGGTAGGCAATACCGGGCGGTAGTGTACATGGTTCGGCAAGGAACGAAGCATGTCGGGCCAGGACGTGTCCGCATTTGGGCAGCAGCTGTACGCACTGGGCGTGAAATCGTCGTGGCATTGGTTAACGATGCTGGACAGGTGGAAAACGGGACGGCGGATGGAAGTAACTTTTCGTCTTTTGCGGTGACTAGGCAGGGCCCTGTTGAGCCACTTCCGAAACTCTCCAAGCATGGCACAGATGGAGGGGCTCAACGAGCAAATGGGGAACTAGCGGCTGGTGATGGGACGGCCTGGATGGCATCAGTGCGGTGACAGATATCGGCATGCATGGGGCTTCGACATGATAGTCATAGATGCAGTGCCTCGCCTGCATGTGTTGCAGGTTGCGGTGACGGGCTATACCTGTCCCGGGTCGTGAGGCTAGTCAGGAGCCTGAAGGTAAAGAGAGCGAGCACGAAGACATGACGATGGCGAATCGCAAGAGGAAAAAATGTAGTTTTGCCTCCCTCTCTGTCTCTGTTTCTCGCTCTCTGTGGAACGGCCGCATGCGCGGACTGGGATATTGAGCCAAGTGGACAGTTAAGGTATGGTCGGTGAGGTACCCGGGAGTGAGGGCCCGGAACAGAATGGACCACGACAGGGGTCAATGGGAGGGGTAGGAGGGGAGGGGAGAGCCGGGAGGGGAGAGCCGGGAGGGGGGACAGTTGTGGCAACGGGGATGCATGGCTCTTGATGGAGGGTAGGAAATGAGCAGGTGTGGTGAACAAGGAAGATGCCGTAGGCAAAACTACTCTGTCTGCGCCTGTATCCGTACCATGATCTCGCGTGGAAGGGTTCCGAGGGACAGATGGGACGGGACAATCGCGGATGAATTGCGACAGATGATGGACAATGAACCCAAGATGAGGCGATGAATGCCCTGGTTGAATGTGCCAGAGTTGCAGGAAGAATGGATATGGAGATAGACGGTGAGAAAGAGGAGACCTCTGACCAGGGCAGGGCACTGAGAAACGACGTAGTTGGCTAATTGAGGTTCGAGTTCCGCACGAGATTCGCAACGAAGCACCGATTCGTGGCCCTCGTTGAGTGCGTAGAATCCTGCCAGGGGGGTCCAGTCGGATGCTCGGCGGTCGAAGGATTGAGCATCTTTGTGTAGCCAATGAGGCGACATGTTCCATCGATAAAGGTTCAACGCAGTTTGAATAAGTAAAGAGGTAAGGTAAAGGCTGAGTGACATGCGAATTTGGTAGTTAGAACTAAAGTAGAGCAGGCGAAATGTCGTAAACTTCGAATTTGCATCGACGGAGGCAGATTAAGGTATGATCGAGTCCAGGATAGCTTAAGTCGAGTAGTTGGTGAGGAAGAATTGCAGAGAAATCCAAAGATTGACTTTTTAGGTTTCCCTCTTGCCTCTCACGATCCCTGGTTGCCTCTCTTCCAAGTCTGCACTTTCTGATTTCTGTGCACCGATCTTTCTGGTTGAAGGAAGAGAAGGTTCGGCTAAGGCACCTTCGTGATTTCCTCGAAATTACATAATCACGCAACAGTTCGGATGGCGGGGTGCCAAGGTAGGGACCTTCCTTGTCTACTTACATCCTCTACTCCGTACGGAGTACCTCTTTCCATTCCTCTGCTGCACATTACCAGTGCCGCCCGCCTTCATCCGTCCGTACTTCAGCACCTTCGGTTCCCCTTGAAGACACGTTATGCCATTCTGTCAAACCTTTCGTCCTGAAATGGAGCGAATCTGCAGCTTTGGCACTTTGAGCTTCCCTCCCTCCGCGGCCACATACGTACGACGCTGCAGCTTTGGTGCTCAAGACCGCCCATCCCTCATCACTCTCTTCTGGCATATGTTCTACGGCACGGCTGCGCATCTATCGTTCCCTGTCCTAGCCGACGGCGGCGCACATCCCGTTCGTTCCGCGGAATGAGGACGCTGCCGGTCGTTGAAGGCCATCACCCGTCCCAGCTAGCGAAGCGTCATGGTTCGCGACATCGAACCATTTTCTCCGTCGATCGCGTGAGAAGACCGGCAAGTTAACAGCTAGAGAGACACTGCTGAACAGCCGCTGTTGACCAGCTGCTCTCTCTTGCCATGGGTATGGGTACTTCATTATTGCGCCTTGCTCCCAGCGGTTGCAAAACCCTATTGAACACCAAGTATCTTCACAGAGCTCATATCCTCAGATTGAGCTGCGCACTCAATCCTGCACGTCAGGCTCCGCTGTGATGGTATGCCCTCCGGTCCCCTGGCCGCGGCGGCAAAGACCCCCAGTGGATTCCTCTGAGGGGAGGGACATGGACCGAAGGCCCCATCTGGTGGACCCCGGCTTAGTTGACGGGGCCTTCAAGGGCCTTGCCTACACCTATCCTTGCAACAATGGATTTTGGTATCAAAAGACGGCACAAGAAAACGATGCCGAGGCTCTAACCGGCCGAACCAGATCACGTCGGAAGCAATGCGTCCTCCAAGAATCCAGTACTTTCTTGAACCAGTCCAGGAAAGGCCTTCTCATCGTGACGCCCTCGGCGCCAGAAAGCGTTCCTCGGGCCTCGACTTCAGTTTGATATCACTCCATCGACCAAAACGTCTATAACAGCGTATATCGAAGGCACTGCAACTGCTGCTCCTTTACCTGATTTCTGTCAGCGCTCGAGTCTGCGCCAATCTGATCGAGTGGCTGGGTCCAAGTTCTCCGACTGCTGGTATGCGGATACACTGCATGTGCACCTCCATTTTACCGGTCCTATAGCGAGGCGCTGCGCATGGCTGGTCCTGACCCCAACCCTTGTAAGTCCTCGAAAGCCCATGACTACCTAAAATACATGGATGACCGTACCTTATCCTGATCCGCAACTTCTGACGCATCCGCAGTCGGCACGCAAAACCCTGCCCGGATTTCGGCCACTGCATTTATTTGTCAAGTCAGACTAATGATACAGACTGCCGCCTTCTAACTTGCTCAGGCTGTATTGCCTCAACGACGAAGCATCTGCAAAAAGAGAGCTGGCATATCACAGTTGGTGGCAATGACGCCTGTTCTGATATGGCGTAGTAACCGAGTCGCAGCCCCTGGCTACACCTCGCCTGACCAAAAAGTCATGGGTGCTGGATAAAGTCGTTTGGAGCTGATCGACTCAAACTCAATGCCAATCGTACACATTTTCCTGCATGGACGCGAAAGTACTTCTCTTGATGGCAAGGACCAGTGCGAGACATCAACGTCATCTTCTGGGCTCAGCAAACTTGGAGACACATTCGAGAGCTGCAATGATCACCCAGCTACTGTTCCCGTCGATAGCACTAGCACGTACGGCGCCCGCATCTCTGAGGCGCGCCAGATGTTTGAAGGCACACTCACTACTCTACTGAACCCCAAACGAGTGATCTCCAAGTGTACTATCACACGGAGAGCCTGAGCCGACATTGCAATCCTCAACACGGCAAGATCTACTTCTCTGCCGTGAGGCAGATGCGGGATGAATCAGGAGCTGGTTTGTCTGACGACTCAGTCAGGGCTTAGTATTGAAAGAGTCAAGAATCTCGCATATCCGCAACCGCAGGCTGCTTGGGTATCACATTCAACGGTGGCCAGCATATACCCACTGCGAAACAAAAATTGGAGACAATTTTCCAATTCGGAGAAACCCTGCATGCTCACGCAATCGGAACGCATGGCATTACCCAGGGCCCATGCAAAGGAGTGTCGAGTGGAGCTCTTCGTCATGTCTGCCTGAAGAGAACCCACGCGCGAGGCTTTACCTGGGTGTACGTGATACTGGTGAGCAAGCCGTCCTCTTCTTGGTATGCGAAAGAAGAAGAGAGAAGCCCGTCACGTCATCTCATGGGAAGGTGTTGGTACAATGATGTCGCCGAAGACGAGCGTGAGCAGCTTCGGGACGAAAGTCTGGTCAGTTCTCTGATATCACCAGTGAGAGCAGCTATAACAACTAACACGGTCCACGGAATTGTTGTCCGGTCTACCAATGGACGGCCTTGACATATCTAAGACAGAGACTCTTCTCTTCTGAGCCGCATGGAATCGAGTCATTGCAGTATTGACGATGAGGGTCACTTGCCAGCGGCGCCTGGAATCATTCCATTACCGGCGATTTTCTCCAAACCTCAGGCTTCAGCTCCAGGGCAGACGGATGTCTGGATTGGCACCTGCCGACGTAGTTGCCGAGTAATGACCTTGCTTTCAGACGGCTATTGATCTCGATGGAAGTTTTCCATCCCAAAAGCCGAATGGGATGACTGGGGGGAGCATAGCTCGATACGACCTCACTAGGCCATGGCCTCTCCGCATGTACATCGTCTGCTCAGGCATGTCAGCGAGGGTGTCTACCGGATCTCTGGAATAAAGTGAAACACTGCTCGCATCGCTGACAAAAATGCCAGATAAATTAGAAAGAGAGAAGTGGCTGACGCCTCCATTCTAGAAACCGACGCTGACAGACAGCGTCTGTCAGGCCGCCGGATTTTCACCGTAATTTAGTGAACAGGAAAGTCTAGCTGGTCTGGCAACGCGGAAACGCTGCATATTTCGGGTAGGGGGCAGAAGTACCAATGCCCAAATAAGCTGAAAAGCACCATGAGACCCGATCAGCTGCATTCAGCTTCCTCGGCATGCCTTTAGAGTTTCAACGGTCAACTACATTGCATAGGGATATCGCCATGGCACGATACATCCAAGACAATTCTCAGACCGCTGGAAAGGACTTCATCAGCCAATGTAAGGTCCTTGAATCCAGATAGCGGCTGGTTCTCTACCCCAGAGAACTAAACACAAGCAAATTTCTTTCTGAAGAGGTAATTAGGTCGTGGATGATGCGAGGAGGAGGAGGAGGGGTCACTCGAATTGGTCGAAGGCGTCTGGGTGCCCAAAAGAAGAACAACCTACGAACAGAACACCACCATCAAATCGAAGACATCTTACCTGCAGCCACCGCCTCAATCGTCGCTCAATTACCTTATATCAACGAAGCAACATGTGAATCTTGTCCCCCTTTTCCAGTGCGAAGCTAGCATGTGCATTTCAGCCAATCTACCACCCATCAGCAGCAGCAGCAGCAGCAGCCGTACTATAATAAAACTCACCTACACACACCCACATTGCGCTTCCGCATCCGCATCCGCGTAACTCCCCCGGGCGTATAGTATAGCCTGCCTTTCATACCTTGACTCACACACCTCACCGCCAATCTCTCAAATCCAAGCCAAGCCAACAGACAGCAACGTCCACTTCCCGAGCATTGGCAGACACAAAAAAAAGACACATTGAGACCCCCCCGGAAGCCGAAATCGGGGGGTGAAATCGGGACCTGATTCAATGAGTCGGTGAGCGAGGGGAAACACGACATCCGCCACACGCATGTGTATTTCGCAGTTTATATACGATTTTACCATGTGCCTCTACTGCAACCGCTACAAGACGGGTGACGACGACACGGTAAGCGGGTGAAGCAGAAAGATATCGCATGGGAAGCACAACATGCCCCGGCGCATCCCTCGGTGTGTCTTTTATGTGAATGGCTGCCGAAAAAACGCACCCACCTTCAGGTACATGTTGCTCTTGCTCTGCTCTTGCGTCACAATCAAGACACTCTCCTCAGCCTACCTCGACCTCGAGGTGCACTCGAGGTGCCTTGAGGTAGGTAGAGTCACGTTTCACCGCCTACCGCCACCGGCACACGCGCGCCGAGTCGTCCATTAAGAATCTCATCGTGACGCTGCGTCCTGTCAGCCATCGCCATATGCCATCCCCCAACGAGACCTTTCTCTCCAATGTTGTCTCTCCCATTAGCAGGCGAGTCGAGCTCACGCCGGATACAATCGCGCATACCTGGTCAAATGCAGAGGAGAGAATCAAGAATTACAAAAAAGGCAAGGCTCATACTTTGGGAATCTATGTGTATGGGAGCACAAACAGGACGGATACAGCATTACACATCATACGAGCTTTTTTGGGAGAGAAAAAAAGTGCCTGCCGCGAAAGCCCCCCCTCCGTACAAAAAGGTCTCGGTCCAAGGATCTTTCCCCCCCTCCTCCCTCCCCTCCCCTCCCTCCGAGGAGCGGCATCGCCCGTTCACCCGCACCTCGCAAACAAAGGTCGACGCGATCAGAAAGTGCTGGTCGCCAATCGGCTCGCCGCGTTTCTCGCATCCACTCGGTCCTCGTCGTCCTCCTCTGCCACACCGGACAGGCTCGCCCGGCCGCCCGCTGCGCCGAGGCCCTTGTTCTGCCCCGCACCCTGGCTGTCGTCGCCCTCACCGTCCTCGGGGACGCCCATAAGACTGCCAGACACGCTGCGGTTGAGCGTGTCGGTACGTCGTGGAACACCGCTCCATGCATCACCCTTGGGACCTTGGCTGGCTGCCACGCTGGCCCTTCTGACGGGAGGGTGAGCCTCGCGTCCCAGTCGACTCAGACCGCCAGATGCGTCAATGGCGCGGATGTCTGGTCTTACGCTCTCGAGGACGGCGAGAGCACGTCGCTCCGCTTCAATCTCGCGAATGACATATTCTCTGATGCTGAGCCGAAGGTCCGCTGCAGTCCTCGCGAACCACTTTCGGCGCTCCTGTACGAGATTTTGCGTGACACGAGTCGTCTTTTGGTAGAGGTAGGTCTCGTTTTGGCGGGCGTCATCGAGGGCTGTAATGGCCTCATCGACCTTCTCGCGCCTTACGTTGGAGCTCGCCTTCAGACGATCGGCAGCATTGAGCTTGCTACGTGTGTTCTCTTGTGCCTGGAGGAATTCGCGAATGAGGATTTGGCGATTTGTGAGTGACTCCTTGACCACAAATGAGTCCTGGGAATGGTACTGGAAAGGATCACCAATGGTGGTAGCTTCCGCAGTAGCTTGCGCAGCGTGGTAATCACCGACGGTCTGTACGATCTTGCCCAACTTACGATAGGCATTGGCGAGACCCTGATGGGGCTCTTGGATATGCATGGAGCCGAGCTTGACGCCAAAGTCGGATTCAGCCAATCCCAGACCTAGATGATATCAGACCTGCAAATGCCCGCGCGTTGTTGGGAAGGATTGACGTTGGACTTACCTCGACGAGACTTGACGAGCTTATCGACCTTGTGGCCGGCATCCATGGTTCCAAGGTAGAAGAGCTTCACAATCGGACGAGCCTCCTGGAGCTCCGGAGTGTCGTCCGGCGGGGGAGCAAACTGCTTCAGGATCTTTCTGCGCACACCCGTCGCCGGCTGCTTCATCTTTACCATGGGGCTGTAACCGAAATCGCTCTCAACGAAGAGGACCATCTCATCGTCCCTCATAAGGACTTCGTTGCTGCACACGTAGTTGAACCACCGTTGTAATAGAGCCTTAACACGGGCTTCGTCCTCGTCCGTGCCAGCGCCGGCCGAAGTTACGGCGGGCGGTACGGTAGGTACCAGGCATTCCGGGTTGGCTGAAATCAGGTGCTCCGCAAGCTTGACGAATTCGGAATGGAAACGACGTACGTCGCGGTACTGCGTGGTGCGGAACCGCGGGAGGTTGGTCTACGGCGTGTTAGGCAATCACCTTCCACCGCACAAGGGGGTTTGCTCCTTACATGAACATCGAACCGCAAGATGGGGTCCTTCTTCCCGGTGCGCTCGAGACCGGTGATCTTGGCCTGTAGCCTGAACTGAGGCTGCTGAGGCTTGCGCGGCTGTTGTTGAGCCTGACCGCCCTCGGCCGCAGGGCCACCTTGTTCTTGCGACTTTTGAGGTAGCTCAGGTCCCGGACCATCGCCGCTGGAGCGGGCTTCTGAGCCTATTTCAGTCCTCGACTCCTGTGTTTCCACCTCGGTGGTCGACTGGGTGCTGCTTGCGGTGTCTGGTCGTCTGTATTGCTGCTCGCCGCCAAAGCCCTCGTGGTGGTCTTGCGGCGTTGCGTTGCCGGGACTCGGTGAGTAGTTGAAGGGGGATCCAGCCGGGTCGCCGCCGAGGTCAGCACCAAGAGATGAGAAGTTGGTCTGGTTGGGCCGGGGCGAGGAGCCTGGGGAGTTTCCCCAGGGCGATGCGCCGCTCTCTTCGTGGATAGAGGCGCTGTAATCCATGGCTACGGCGGTCTCGTTGTCGTCGTTGTTCGTCGTCTGCGAAGGCGTGCGATCGATGATGTCGTCGGGTTGCGTGGACGGATCACGACTGGCCGACAAAGCCGATGCGGGGAAGAGGGAACGGGTGTAGATGGTTATTTGGGGATTCGGCACACGAGCCCATCCATTGATCGGTGTCGGAATGCAACAGTGCTTGTCGTGGGCCGGAGGATAGTGGTCCGGGTGTGTAGATGATGGTCCGTATAATCGCCCTCGTGTCGTTCGCAAGCTGAGGCGGGATGCGAGCGTGATGTCCAGAAGGCCGGGGGACCTTTTCTCCACGCAGCTGCCTTGAATTGGTTCGTAACCACCGCAGTTCAAAG